GGGGGGGGGGGGGGGGGCAAAAGCACTCCCCCACCGCCCCGTTTTGGCTGCCAGAGGCACTGCGGGCCAGTCCTTTGTTATTTCCAGGCCAGATTTAAGCACTTTGTGGGTGTGGGTTACCATACCTGGCAGATGTTCCTAGACCTAGGGATTTATAGTTACAGTAGTTTACTTTACTTTATTGTCATTGGCCTTGAGTTTGACACCCCCGATTTACAGTAATGGCTTAACTAAAAGAGGCCAGTTATTTGGAGAATAAAGCAATGACAGAATGCTTGTAGTTCTTTTGATCCTTAATATTGGTTCAATTGTACTGTATGTCAAATAATATGATAAACAGTTCCTATTACGAGTTTTTAAAAAAAACTTGAGAAAAAGATGACAAAGCTGACAGGGTTTCTAGCATTCAACAAACTCATTGCCTTTTTGTTGTTGGGAAAATAGTGGTCCTAACTGTTCTGTTCCTTTTCCCTTGTAGCTGGGTGTTAAGGCACTGACGTACAATGACCTTATCCAAGCCCAGAAAGAAATTTCTGCTCACAACCAGCAGCTGAAAGAGCAGACCAAACAGCTGGAGAAAGATAATGGTGAACTCAGGAATCAGAGTTTACAGCTGGTTTGTATTCCTAGATGCATCAGGCCACAGTTTTATCTTGTTTTGATATCAATCACAAATTCCACTTCTGCCTTTAATGTTAATTTAAGATTGTCATCCTCCCTGGGCCTCTATTCCAAAAACTGTGAGATTGTGAAATGACCGGGGGATTCGTGATTAAAAACTAGGCGTAGCATTTAGGAGATCCCAGGAACATGGAGACTTGCACCCAGTTGAAGATAGACTGTGGTGGGTTAGATGTAACAGGCTAATGTGAAACTTTGTACGTAGATGTGAGCGAAAATCTGTAGCTGGACTACTTTTAGCTAGATGAGCTGTAGTCAGTGCTTTAAAAGTGTGAAGTTCTTAGAATTTTTGTGACACTGGAGTCTTATCCAGCAGACTCCACCTAAGATGGCCAGACAGAAGAAGCTAGACATGCTTTTTTCAAGAGACAACTGGACTTTCTGGTTTGTCTTTGAAGACGTTTCATTTCTCATCCAAGAAGCTTCTTCAGTTCTGACTGGATGGTAGGGAATGGAAGAATTCAGATTCCAGTCAGAGCTGAAGAAGTTTCTTGGATGAGAAGCGAAATGACTTCAAAGAAAAACCAGAAAGTCCAGTTGCCTCTTGAAAAAATCACCTTTGGGACAACCATGACCTGGATGACTGAGGATCTCCATAGACATTTAAAGTCAGTGGAGAAGCCGTATTCAATTAACAACCATCTTACTAATTTAGCAACTGCAGTGATTCACTTAACAACTGTGGCAAGAAAGATTGTAAAATGGAGCAACATTCATTGTCTCACTTAGCAACAGAAATGTTGGGCTCAATTGCGGTCATAAGTCAAGGACTAGCTTTACAGTGCGCATTACAATGTATTGTAAGTCAAGGACTTCCTGTACATCCTGGTTGAACTGACAGTTTGCCTAGATCCATGAAAAAGGGAACATACTTGTCCCTAATTCTGGTGATCCCTGCTATGAATTTGAGACTCTCCACAGACATCTAGACTGGAACTGATCATCTAATGTGGGATACATCACATTTTATATCAAGAGCATAAATATAACTTAGGTTTATATGGCACTAGCTGATAACCGGGCGTTGCTCAGGTATTTATTTATAGGGGGAAAATGTTTGTACCAAACGTAATTTCTAATGTTGGATTTTCCCCCTTACCAGAGGGAGCCCCCTTGTGGAGTACTGTGAAGACGTTACCATGACAATTCCACAGTGCTGTACAGTAGAAACCACTACGGCACAACAGGCTGCATCTTAACAGGACACACACACACCCAAGGGTGTTATGAGTGTCTTCCTTCCCCCCTCCCCCCAGTATTTTCCTCCAGACAGTAAGTCATCTGTGTACCAAGTTTGGTTGAAATTGCTTGAGGCGTTCCAGAGTTATGCTGGTACACACACACACAGGACTGTTTTTATATATATAGATGAAGGGTTAGTTTTGACAGTATGATATAACATTTTCCAAATAATATATCTCCCTGTTCTTTTTCTGCCTCCTTCCAGCTGAAAGCTAGATGTGAAGAACTAAAGTTGGATTGGTCAACACTTTCACTGGAAAACCTTCTCAAAGAAAAGCAAGCATTAAAAAATCAGATTTCTGAGAAGCAAAAGCACTGCTTGGAATTGCAGGTAGCGTATGGCTAGGATGTAATACCTTTTGTTAGAATTGAGTTCTAATGTTGCCTTTTTAAAAAAAGAAAAACCTGGGCAATGGATTCAGCAGTGTTCCTTGGCGGTCTGGTGGGTGACCAGGTACTTCACATGACTAATTCCTTCTCATCAGAGGGGGTTACAATGAATGGGGCAGTTCAGGCAAAATAGGGCAGGCTATTGAGCAAAAGGAGCTTGCTTCCACAGTATGGTTTACTTTCCTAAATGGAAGAAAGTGGGGCAGGGTTTGTTGGATTCTTAAAAGAGTCAAAGGAACTTCAGCCTTGAAAAATGTGAAGGGACAGTTATTCCTAAAATATAATAATCTCAAAGGTGCTTTTAAAAAGTCAACTGAACTTTATTTTCTTAAAAACATTTCTTTTTCTTATCCAAGAGGTTTCTTTGGTTCTGACTGAATGATGGGGAATAGAAGGATTTATATTCTTTGCAGTCATCTCTGCTCGTTAGTACTCTGAAGGCTAGTCTTTCTATTCCTCACCATTCAGTCAGAACTGAAGAAGCTTCTTGGATGAGAAGTGAAATGCTTTCAAGAAAAAAACAACAACATGAAAGTCCTATTTCCAAGTCCTTTTGGAAAAGCCCCTTTGGGGCAACCATGACCTGGATGGTTGAGAATTTCCATAGACACATAACGATAATAACCTTTAATAATGTTTGTCAGGGTAATGATGATTTAATAACTGACCAGCTGCTTTAAGGCTGTAAACTGGGATGATGACATGAGGATGAGTCAGCAGGGTTACTGCCACTTTAAGAAGCTATATATATAAGGGAGGCTATGTGAGGGCGTCTCTCTCTCTCCTCCTGTATCTCTCTCCTCGTATTCTATCTCCATTGTAGTTCTTGTGTAGAGTTGAAGATTGATTGATTGCTAACACATGTATGTACTGTATTTTTTGAAGTATAAGACGCACCTTTTCCCCCCTAAAAGAACATGGAAATGTTGGTGCATCTTATACACTGAATACAGCCATTTTTGGCCTCCCAAAGCCCTCCCTCTGCATCCCATTTTTCCAAAAAATGGGCCGTTTTTTGCAAAAACAGAGGTGTTTTTGCCTTCCCCCAGCCCCCAGAAGCACTCTGCAGGCTTCAGCAGGGCTGGGGGAAAGGTGAAAATGCCCTTGTTTATGCACAAAATGGCCCGTTTTTCACAAAAATGGGGGTGTTTTTGTCTTCCCACCAACCCTGCTGAAGCCTGCAGAGTGCTCCTGAGGGCCGGGGAGGACAAAAACTTTTTTTTCTTTCTTACTTCTTCGAAATCTTGGTGCGTCTTATACATTGGTACTTCTTATAGTCCAAAAAATATGGTTATGTATGTATGTATGTATGTGTCTTGTATATTAACCACTGTTTGAAAGAAACAACCTCTGTGTACTGTATTTTGCTCCTGGGTTGTCTCAAAATAGTAGTCACGCTGGGCGCACTCTGACAATGTTCTTCTTTCTCCTATCATTTTAAAGATCAGCATTGTGGAGCTTGAGAAAAGCCAAAGGCAGCAGGAACTCCTGCAGCTGAAATCCTACATGCCCTCTGACGAATCGCTGCCAGCCCAGCCACGCCACAAAAACCACCTGAACCGGGAGGCAGAGCCTGACCACAACACGCTTCACCTGGAGCTAGAGTGCCCCAAGTTCCCCGTGCCCCAGGTCAATGGCATGAGTCCCGAACTGTCCATAAATGGCCATGCCACACCTTACGAAATTCATAATGCACTCAGCCGACCAGCTTCTAAGCAGACGACTCCTCAATATCCACCTGCCCACGTGGACCAAGACATCATTCCTTGCACCCCGATCCATAGCTGCAGACAGAAGCTGGACAAAGGCTCAAACTTATCCCTGCCAGATTATACCAGGTTTTCTCCAGCTAAGATCGCCCTCCGGAGGCACTTGAACCAAGACCACATAGGCAGCGGGAAAACAGCACCCAGTGAGAACCATCAGAGGTGAGGATCAGAGTGGTTAGATCATGTGTCGTCGTCGTCGTCCCCCGCCCCCCACCCCCACTTTGGTGGTAACCTTGGGGGAATTATCACTGGAGGTAGTCCTTGACTTACAACCACAATTGAGGCCAGAATTTCTGTTGCCAAGTGAAACAGTCATTAGGCAAATTTTGCCCCACTTTATGACCTTTCTTGTCACAGTAGTTAAGTGAATCACTGCAGTTGTTAAGTTGGTAACATGATTGCTAAGTGGCTTTCCCCACTATCTGCTTGTCAGAAGGTTGCAAAAGGGGATCACATGACCCCAGGACACTGCAACGGTCATAAATATGAGCCCGTTTCCGAGCGGCTGAATTTTAATCATGTGACCATGGGGATGCAGCAGTGGTTGTAAGTGTGAAAAACAGTCATAAGTCGCTTTTTCAGTTCTGTTGTGACTTCGAACGATTACTAAATGAACTATTGTAAGTCAAGGATTTCCTGTACATCCTGGTTGGAATGACAGTTTGCCTAGAAGATCCGTTCCCAAAAGCACAAATCTGACTCCTCGTCCCGATAAAACCCCTGTTATTTACTTTAAAGTGAATTCCTCTCCAGCAAAGTCCAGGCCAACAATCAAGAGATTTCACAACTACAGACCTTTACCGGGCAGGAGAGCTGCCAAGCCAATATCTTCCAAACGCCACACTGCAGCAGACAATTACTCGGCAAGAAGCCAGGAGCAGATCTTCAGCCTAATGAATTGAAATCATTGTCTCCTGCAAACTCCCCTCCCCGTTCGCTCCTCTTTATTCCCTATGGGAGAGGCCATTCACTGACTACCTGTGCCTTTACTCCTCAGTCAGCCCTTGTTCCTTAGCTGTCCCCTTCTCCTGTCAGCTCTGTGCATGAGCACACTGGAAACAGGCTCCAGCTGTTCTGCTCAACTGATGTCTGGATAACTGTCAGACGGCCCTGGCCCCATCTCTGCCTCTGTTGCAGAGCCCTCGTCAGAGCCTTCCCCAGACTCCAGGACTGGCACATGTTCCTCCCCAACCTCCTCACTGTCTGAATATGCTGCCAGTTCCATTGGCAGGGCACAACAATCTGGTGTTGTTTCCCACTTATTAGGGTGTCAGTTGCTAGGAAGGAGGTGGGGGATTTGGTTCGTTCCTTAAGCTTTGGTTATGTTTTTTCAGTGGTGTGTATATATCATTTATATGTTTGTTAATGGCCGATTTGTCGGAATGCCAAGTTTCAAAGAATTCCCTAGCATTTTTGAATTTATCTTGATATAAAATGCCAGCAGTTCCTCAGTTGAAACTGACAGAGAAATTTGTCTCTGTGTTAAGAGATTGTGGAATTTTCATATCGCCATTTGATGTTTATGGATGGATTCTGCCAATTTTCTACCTGTCTTTCATGGATAGAGATAGGTGCATAAAGAACCAGTAAACTTTGCTTTCCCATGCAGTGATCATGTTCGTGGTACTGACACATCTGCAGAAAAACAACCAAAGCAGGATAAAAATAAATAACTAAGCCCAGAAAAAGCAAGATTCTGCCTTTATTAGTTTATAAGTAACTCAAGGCAGTGAACATACTACTTCCCCCTCCTATTTTCCCCACAATAACAACCCCATGAGTTGAGTTGGGCTGAGAGAAAGAGAGAGAGTGACCGGTCCATGGTCACCCAGCTGGCTTTCCTGGCTTAAGGCGAAACCAGAACTCACAGTCTCCTGGTTTCTAAGCCAGCATTTTAACCATTTCACCAAACTGGCTCTCTCAATACTACAACCATGAACCATATATATATTCTCTAGGACTGGAAGTTGCCTTTGGGTTAACAGTGGCACTCTGGATAGCCATGGAGAATGTATACTCTGTTTGTGGGTGCTACCTTTAGTTGAATCCTGAATGGCTAAACTCTGAAAGTATCTGTGAAGTTGGCATGCTGCAAATCAGAGCACTTATCCTCCAGGCTCATTTTTTTTTATCAAGAATGCTTCTTTGTTTAGAGGAAAGCTGCATCCTTCAGTCAACAGAAGAATCAGAAAGCATTCTGTGGATGGAAGAGAAAGAGAAAAGAGATAGCGGTCTTCGAAACTACATTCCCCCCCTCCAATCTCTTTCTTAGCAGCCATTTTGTGCGTAGATAACAGTTGGTCTGGGATGGAGCCTGCAATGTCTTTTCAGTTTTCAAAGGGCATAATAATTCTGTCTAATGCATCAAATATTATCTAACAAACCACTTCTTCCCTTAGAAATCCACTAAGCTGTTAAGATGTAAAAGGCCAGCCTTTTTGAAGAGAACCAAGCTATCAGAAACTGTCAGAGTTTGTTGCAAAAAAAATCAAATCCAGAAAGCATACACACATAACTGATTCAGCTGGATTCATTAACTTCTTCATATACATAATAACAGATGAATAAATGTACAATACCAATAGTAGATTGATTCAACGTGGTAGAAGTTACAAGCAGAACACAAGCAGGAGAGAGTCAGTTTTATTTCAGAATTCAGAGCAGACAGGATCAATCTTGTTTCAGTTTCAATTCTCAGCACAGACTCAGATCTGTTTAAGCTCCCATTGGCTGACTTAGNCCCAGCCCCACTCGAATTGTTGCGGCTGTTGATGAGTTTTTAATCTGTTCGTATTTGTCTGTCTTTTCGTTTTTTTGTACTTCCCCTTTCCCCTATTTAGTTTGTTAGCCGCCCTGAGTCCCCTCGGGGAATAGGGCGGCATACAAGTTCAATAAAACTAAACTAAACTAAACTTTTCACTTCTTGAACTTTCATATAAAAATTGAGTTCTATTTTTTTTAAATAATACTTTTTCTTTTTCTCCACTCTGATTTTCTTTGTTTTAGGGATTTAACTTACTGAAACCATTTTTAAAATTTTGGCCATGAGGCATTATCCTCGCTGCATTATTGTAGGTAGGGTTTTACCACTAGATTCCAATCAGATTGGAAAATTGGAATTCCAATTTTTTGCCTGTTTAGTATCCCCACTACAAGGCAAGTTGTTTAAGATTCATGATAACCATACCACAATGTGCTGAAAGTACATACATATCTCTGTTTCTTATCTCCTATTCCAGATAAACTCAGAATATGAAAAGTACCGTATTTTTCAGAGTATAAGATGCACCAAGATTTTGAAGAGGCAAATTAAAAAAAAAGTTTTTGCACTCTGCAGACCTCCCAAAAATGGCTTGTTTTTTGCAAAAACGGGCCCGCTTTTTTGTCAAAAAAAGGGCATGAATAGCCTTTAAGAGGCTTGTAGAGTGTTCCTGGGGTGGGGGTAATGAACAAAAAATGGCCTGTTTTTCACAAAAATGGGTCCGTCTTTTGTCAAAAAAGAGCATGCATAGCCTTTAGGAGGCTTATAGAGTGCTTTTGGGGTCTGGGAGGGAGCAAAATTGAGCAAAAAATGGCACGTTTTTCACTCATTTCTGCCCTCCCCAGCCTTTAGCAGCACTCTGGAAGCCTCTTAAAGGCTATGCACAGCCATTTTGGTGAAGGGGGCGGGGTTTTGGGAGGCCAAAAGTGCTGTATTCAGTGTATAAGATGCTCCCAGATTTTCACCCTCTTTTTTGAGGGAAAAAGGTGCGTCTTGTACTGAAAAATGCGGTACCTTTCAGCCTATCTCTTGAAAGTTGCCAGACAAAGCAGTAGAAAAACAAGTTCTCTCACTAGAGCCTCTGTGGATAAATAAGGTTTATTTTTAATACAAAGAGGAAGAGAAAAGGTCAGAGGTCAACAGATTACTTATCTGGATCTTCTAATCAAATTACAGAATGATTAACAGGAGATTGTTGAGAATTTCTGATTCTCACTTGATTAATAAGAGTAGCATGACACTATGATTTTAAATTAAAGAGCTAGAATGTGTGAAGTTTTAGTACTTTAGGAATAGATTTTAGTATTTGTGTATTTCTAATTTAGATGCAACAAGCTGAAGTTGCACAAAAGATTGATGTACTAATATGCTTGCAGACTGTTCATGTGGGTTTTTTCCTTCACTTACAGACTCCTTTAAGATCCAGTATATGCAGTTCATGGCTTATATGAAAACAAATCAATATAAGGCAACTCTTCAGCAGTTATTGGAACAGGAAAAGGTAGGTGTCAGACTTGGTCTCTTAGGAAAGAAACACTGTGGACTCCATTCGTAGCGAAAATATTACTTTCACTAAAGCCAAGTGGTTACAGTAAGCCAAGCCAGGACTAAGAGTTTGAGTGGGAAAATTACTCTAGTTAACTTTCCCTTTCTTGCACCCTCCCTTATCACCCCCACTGTCCAGTCACATGTAGAGAAGAAGTATGTATTTTTAATGGCTATAATAATGATTTATTACTTGTTGCTTGTATGTACACTGAGATCTTACGCACCGAAGACAAATTCCTTGTATGTCCAATCACACTTGCCTGATAAAGAATTCTATTCTATTCTATTCTACCCTATTCCTATTCCTATTCCTATTCCTATTCCTATTCCTATTCCTATTCCTATTCCTATTCTACTCTACTCTACTCTACTCTACTCTACTCTACTCTACTCTACTCTACTCTACTCTAATTCTATTCTATTTTATTTTATTTTATTCTATTCTTTTCAATATGTTTTGGTAACTGTCCACCCTTTGGTTGGTTAGATGG